TTGTATTAAAATGTATAAAAATGTTTAAAAAATAATAACTTTAGAACACTGATTAAAAATCTTGAAAAATACTGATTTAATAAATAACTGTTTTTATCATTTCGTACTAATACTATAAAACGTTGACAAATGTAACATAATAATTACCAATATCCATAGTATTAGATTTATTGTTATGAATCTCCGCCAATAATTTAGCAGCCTCGTAAAGCAAAACACCCTTCGTCGATAATTTTTTGCAAGGTGCGTCATCGTGAATGCTCGTCAATAAAGAAATGTGTCCTCGAGAATCACATTCTGTACGCACTCCGCAAGTACATGCTGCTATGATCGCGAAAATGACACCCCATTGATGATATTTTTCCATTCTATCTTTTTTCGATCAATTACTTTTTTTTCAGTAATTAATGCTTTTAACGAGGACAAAAAAAAGGAAAAAGTATTTAATTTTGTTGTCTTCTTATTATTCGAATTACAACACTAAATCTTCACTTCCACTTATTTTACCATATTCTACGTTTAATTTTTTTTTTTATATGATATCAAACGACGTAGGATGTTTAATTTAATCAAGAAAATAATGTACGTTCGATCAAATCCTACGCGTTGGTTAACAATACTTTAAAAAGTAGTTGATCGAAATGCGCTATACGGAAAGACTGTGATCTATCTTCCGAGTGCAGACCTTGGTATTGAAAAATGCTACCTTTATAAGGAAGCCGCGACATGTATTATGTGAATTTGTAGGGTTTTAACTATGTATCTTCAAAGCAGGCGCTCTCAAAGCAAACTTTTTCATTATTTTCCTCAAATAATATTTAATTTAACTTGATTTTCTATTATATATATTCAATTATATAAAAAAAGAAATTTTTTTCATTTTGTTTAAATCACATTTTTGTTTGAAATTATAATTGTTTTTATAACAAGTTTGGAATACAAATTTTAATGTTCTTTTTCTATTTTTGTAAAACAAAAAGTTATTATATTAGATTAAAAATGATAATTTTAAATATAATTATGAATTATATTCGTTCATTAGTAAATTTTGGTATATTTGTAAGAAATAAATGAGAACCACATTTAATGATTTCAAAGCTTCTTATCGTAGTATATCGATTGTTAGATGACTATACTTAATACTCATTGCACAACTAACTCTTGCATAACTAATCGTACGATTAGTTAAATCTTGTTGGTGTAAAATTCGTAGATAACATTACCTGCCAGTGTTATTACAAGAAATATCGAATTTATTATTTTTATTAAATCCTCTAATGCTTGATATTTTTCTTATTTAAGATAAGGTTTGTGTAATATAAGAGGGCCGTTTTGGGACTCAAAGACTATTTTATGATCTTTCCAAACCTTCACTTTACAATAATTTTATATTATTCCATGTATGACATACATATAATGTGGAATATAATGTATATGTTACCATTAAAGTGTATAATTCTATGAAATCATGAAAAACCTAAGGCTTACACAAAAAGATAGGCGTTTTAAGGAAAGCATATAAAAAGAATCTTATTATAGTTAAACTAGTAATTTGATTTGTTTTTAAAGACTACTTTTTTTCTACAACAATGTATCTATCTCTTTGAAAATTACTTTGAAACCCAATATTTTGTTAATCGTTGTTTGTTGTTTTTATCTATTGTTTTGTTGTATTTAATCTATGGATTAAATTTCAACTTCATTACTTCTCGTGAATTCTTATATTACCTAGTTAAAGTATTAATTTCTTGTCGAATTTGGATATGTCAACAAATTTGAGATATCTTCAAATTATTAATTTTCTATTAGGAAATACTTTTAATCAACGTAATTTTTAAAACCACTTTGTTTACAACTGTAGGTGATATTTGTAAACATGTTTTCAGTAAAATGCTAAAAATCATCATCATGAAATGCTTATTTAATATCTTAGTAAACGTTAAAGTCGTTTTGAGGAAGGTAGTACATTCTTATTACAATGTTCAGTAACAGTGAAAAATACGATACGATAATTGTTTATGGTGCTTCTGAAGAAAATACATTAAGAGCTAAGGTCTTATACCAAGCTAAATATTCTGATCGAAATCAGCCATTTCTTTCTACCTTATTAAGGTTTATTGTTAGCCAAAAATTCCAAAACATGGCAATTTAAATGTACAGAAACGTAAAAGGTAAAATTGTAAGTAACGAAGGGGATATCGTACCTCCACTTTAACAGCTATTACCCATAATTCGCATATCGGCACACGGAAAATGTCACGTGGTATGGACATTTGTATCGTAAGTGCATTGACTGTAATGGACACCACCTCGAACACCACTCGAAATAAAACTTGTTTAAAGAGTATAAGATAATAGCAAATAAATTAGAGTATTACGTGTTCTCCAAGACATCATGAAACTTTTGTTTAAAACATTTTTTCGTATAACGAATAACTTACGAATTATTTGAAATCGTCATTTTAGCAGACTCACTCTGTATACAAACGAACGCGTACGACTAACGTACTTTAGACGTGACGAGTATAACCGTTTATGGTGCAGTATATGTTTTTACCGTGCAAGGCAGACTTATATGCTGAAAATGTTGCGTCATTATTATATACACGTAGGTAAGTTTGATTTAAGAAATCTTTTGAATCTCAAGAAGAAATTGATGATAAGTAATATAGGCATATATTAAAGGATTACAAATTTTACACTGATTTATTAATATCTTTTTTCTATTTTTCTCAGAAATGTACCACGCGTTTAAAAAAAGAGGAAATAGATACAACATAACAGCGTTAGATGATAGGTTTTCAACGAAAACGCAAAAATCTATCATTATTCTGTCACCGTGTAAATGCCCGTTTATCTCTATTTTCCCCGCTTCAAAGAAAAAGATTTAAAAAAGAGATACGCGTATATACACGGTCTGGCTATCTACCAACAATAACACGCAATAACGATTTTTAACTCGAAGTTAAGACGATTTTTTTTTTTGGTTCTTTTTTTTTTGTTTCCGATTTTCTTCAGATCGAAAACAAACACGCTTATATATATATATCCATTCGTCTGTCAAACTTTTCAATAAATCTTCTATGTACACACATATGTATTACATACAGGGTGTCTCAGATGTTATGAATCAATTGAAAGGAACTAAAGTGTGGAGGAAGGAGGAGAAGGTGCCGTTTCCAAGAAAACAAACCGATTTCCCATTTCGTTTTTTCTAAGTTTACACATCATTTTTGTTAATCGGTTAGATAAAACTGGAAAACGTGATTTGAAAAATCAAAATATAATCAATATATTCCAATAAGAATGAAATAGATGTTTTGTCGATGTTAGTAGTTTATTATTAGAAAACTTGGAAGAATTTTCAATGTTTTCTATATAACAACAAAATTTTATTTCAATTTATAGGAATAATTCTTGGGATTAAAATTTATAGCTAATTTGTAAGCATGCGATTTACATATGTAAATATATTTGAATGAACACACACACATACACATATATTGCAGAATGTATTGTTATTTAGAACCTTTTTTTTATTACACATTATTATTTACAATTTCTTATTTCTTAATCATATTAAAATGTGAATAGGAAATCAAATCAGGATACTTTTGAGATTACATTTATTGAAAAAATAAAAATCATTTGGTTCCTTTACATTATCTTATTTATTTATATTCTATGATAAAAAAAAGGCATTCATAATTAAATAAAAAAAATTGTTTTATAAAGAATTACTACAATATGTAATCATACATACATAAGATTTTATTTTTTATTGAAAATTATTTCTTCTATAACTTCATTTCATTGGAACTATAACTTTGGGGTCACCCGGTATGTTCACACATATAAGCTTAGAAAAAGTATCTTTAAGACTTTTATACAAGGATAGCAACGAATCTTCCTATGTTGAATGGTTTTACATGAAGACAACTTTTACTGGTAATTCATAAACGTGTCTACGAAATGATAGATAATATTTGACTACACAATCTCCATTTACCAAATCATAATGTTCAGTATTCTATACGGTATATATAAAAATTATCGAAAGAAGAACGTTTATAGTCATGAGTGACGTCATCGTCTATAATACTGATTTTTCTAAGGAATAGAAGCGCGAATATTATTGAGAACATTTATATTGACTAGCGGAAGTGCTTTTTCACGTAACACAAGAAAAATAACTTTATAAAGTTATTGTTGGATTGAATACATTGTTTAACACGATTCCTATCCAATCGAATTTTGACTAAAACTTTTCGTTACGTGCCGCGTGGAACGTATACAACCAACGTACGAATAACGAAAATATCGAATGATCTGAGAAGTATGTATAGTTCGGAGTTAGGTCAGTATGTAATTTACACGGCACTGATTATGTTAATTGATGATTATTGCTGTAAAAAGCATTGTCAATGAAATGTGAAAAAGGAAAGTTTGTTAGAATGAATTATTTGAAGAAGTAATCAATTTTATAAAACTAGAATTATTTTTTTATTAGTTTTTTGATTGCATAACGTGATTATAATGAAGCATTAAAATAGCAATAAAAAAAAAATTATTTAAAAATCAAAATTAAATCTAGCAAAGTACTAATTAATCTTTCATAGCGAAGAGAAAACAAATACCAGGATCATAATCGCATCACCATATAGTTAGTTTTCATTGTATAATATGATTATCTTGATAGATATTCACCGTTGATAGGAATAACAAAGCTTTCGTACGTAATGCAAATAAACAAATTAACCGAAAGTACATTCAGCTGTAACACTTCCTCTTGTGTCTTTTTCTCGTTTGCCAAGGATGTATGTACTCGAAAAGAAACACTCTTACATAGATACATACATACATGAATGCATGCATACAAACCACGAGCGTAAATACGCGTAGTAGAAAAAGCGCATGCTCGAAGGAAAGGGGAACAATTCTGTTTGAGAGTTTGTGGCGGGTCGAGTAATTCCTATTCAGTTTAGCGGTACAATCTGTGAGCCACGCTTCGTCTTTCTGACACAGTACACTGTTTACAATACTTACGATTTCATCACGAATCAAATTGCATCAATTTAACTATTACTTAATAGTTTTGTTCATCAAATACTCTTACTACCGAATAATTCTAAGGTTAATGCAACAATTAATTAAGAAGAAACAATAATCAAACAATAAATAAAAAGTGTTATACTCTGAAAAAAAAAGAAAAAAAAAGAAAAGAAAATATATAAAAGATACCAATCCTAGGGCAAAAGTGAAAAAATGACTATAAGAAAGATCGTAAACCCTTCTGGGCGTGAATGATACCGAGATATCTAAAATACAAGCATCGATTTTTACGATGAAAAACGACGGTAGGATGAACTTAATCGTCCGTGATGATCGACACGAAAATGCTATTCTTTTTTTCTTTTTTTTTTCACGCTCTGATCGTATTTTCATTTATTAATTCCACTACGTAGAATTCGATATATTTTCTCTAATAAAACATGTATCTTATACATTTGATACTGTTTTTCTTTTACGAAAAGCATTTAATTAAGGTATTAAAAATATTTGTTTTTTATTATAATGAATTTTTTTAAAGTTAAATCGTTAATGAAGATGATCATCGATTGGCATAGATTCAAATCGAATCGGGATCTATGGAAGTTAATTGATGTTAATGTGATGTGCCAAGGTAAACGAGGGTGTTTCGAGGACTTACACAAGATACTATTACAAATAATATATTTTAGGAATAGTATACTCAAACGATGATGATGATAATCATTAGCATTGGTTTTATCGATTTAACCTGAGCAAAAGAAATTGAGAGAGAGAGGGAGAGAAAGAGAGAAATATCGTGAAAGATAGTCGACAGATATTGAGTTACGGGAAGCAGTTTATAATGTCACTTAACACCCCTGTCTTGATACAAGTGGTGGTTACTTCAAGATCGAGACGATGCTGTATGCTGTATGAGATCACTATTAACACCTTCATTTTATGTTATCTATGGAATTATATCAACTTCCCTCTTAATCTTCCTAAATTTTGCAACTTATGTATATTTTTCTGTCTAAGTCTCACACGAACTGAACACGTAGCGAGTGTGTAATGAATTTTGTAAGTGTTCATTTTTTTTTTAAATCAAACCACGTGTATTTTGTGAACTATCAAAATCTGGAAGTGTTTTCAAAAGTGATACAATGGGAACGTAAAAAGAAAATTGTTCGACATTTAAATGTGTTACTTCAACGATTTAATAAGTCGAATTAAAGTTATTCGAAATAGTTCGATTTATTAGGTATTTATTTTATTCATATTTAATTGGATATTATCAAAATTTTCCTATTAACTTATACTATTGTCTCTCGATTTATGTGGTGTTTTTTATAAGTTAGTTTTTTATTATACTAATAATTAGTAATAAATAATTTTCTAGGTTGTGTAGACTTTATTTTACAAGTTTAGAACATTTATTTTATCATATTACTAGCATTCAAAGATTTAATATTTTTTATTTTTAAATATTATACTAATAGTATACTGCAAATTTATTAATATTAACAATTAATAAGAAAAGATTGTGATAGAATTTAGTTACAGTACCGAAATCAACGATAAAAATTATTTCAATTTTTATAATTTTTATTATAATTGTTTTGTAAAAATACGGAAAATAAATAAGAATTTTTTGTCAACATATCAATTCGTTGATCTTGTAATCAAAATTTATTCTATGTAACTTGAATAAATTTTAGTCTTCAATATTTTTTTTTCCTTTTTTTTGGGACTGATGAATATTTTCAACGCACTCAAAAAATAAATCGAGAAACGAGATGTAAAGTATTTAAATTACGTATATTATAATAGATAAATCCAATGAAAATATTTTGTCAAGCAAAAAATAAATATCGTCAAGTGAATATGCAAGACGTGAACGTATTGTCGCATGGGGCGTAAGAAATTCTTCGCCGAAGATAAAAAAAAAAATCTATAAAGAAAAAGGAACAGTAAAAAAGGAAAAAGGTTAGCGAGTTTTTCACACGAGAAGATGTTATCTACGATGTCGAGCGTAGCTCTTGAATTAAATTCGTCATTTTATACAACCGTAATAAGAAATAGCGCTGTCGATGGATTTTCAGGTAATCTAATTATTTTTCTCTTATGCAAAATTTAATGCAAAATAAATATATCAAAAAGTCAATTTTTATGCATAAAATATTAATATCAATTTTGGAATTTCGTTTAAGTTTCAGTTATCGAACCTAAGAATGCAACTTCTACGCTTTACATGTTACCTATGTACATTAGAACAACTTCTATGGTTATTTGCATAATTGTTATGGCACTTGGAATAATTGGAAATCTTATGGTAATTATTTTAACCTTCAAAAATTGATTAATTTTATTTCTACTTAAAAAGCCAAAAGTATTTAAGTTTGTCCAAAATTTATAACTGATTTTATAAACAAAAATAACATTTAGAAAATTATAACACAATAAATTGGAGATTACAAGTTAGAATTAAAATATCATCCATAATTATATTTGAAAATTATTTTCAAATATTATGTTTAGATATTAATTCCCGGTGCCTTTTAAACAAATTTAGTATTTACTTATAAACTAGTTATGCATCTCACATTCTTCGAAATAGTCTCCATAATTTTCGATTACTGTATACAATCTTCCAGAGAACTGTTGAATTCCTTGATGAAAACAAAATTCCGATTTTGATTCAATAAATTGAATATCTAGACAAAATATTTTCTTCAAGACTTTCTTAAATTTATTAATTTTACAAATAGACTTTAGTGATTTTACAATTCGTAAAGAGAATGAAACTTATGTTAGAACAAATAAAATGATTAGCGACAAATAAAGAATTTTAGATTAATTTAAAGACTTTTAGTTTAGTCTATATATAATATACTATAATAGTATAAAATAAATAGGTTCCATTGGTCGTTCTTCGAGGGAAAGATATGAGAAACAGCACCAATATTTTTCTCGTAAATTTGAGCGTGGCAGATTTGTTCGTCCTTTTAATATGCACCCCGACTGTATTAGTGGAAGTGAATTCTGGACCACAAGTTTGGCCTCTCGGAGAGCACATGTGTGAGTAAGACGATGTTTTTTCATTTTTTTCTAAATATGTACCCACAATTATAAAAGTTGTTTAATTGTAAGTCTAAATTAAAAAAAAAAAAAAGTAATTTCTGCAATTATTTCACATCACATTATTTGAAACTAAATTAATTCAATGCAATTTTTACAATATTGTCAAAAATGAACCGTTAAATAGTGCTTGTTATTTCAACATTATATGGAATTCATTTAATGTTCAAATGAAATCTTTTAAATATCTCGAAACAAGAGATCTATGACTTATGTTAACCCATTAACGCACAGAATTTTTGAAAAAAATCAATTTTTTTGTATGTAATACAACGCCGCTCGAATTATCTCGAGTGTACACAGTTTGGCCTGTTTAGCGCTCTCGAATTAACTCATCGAATGAACTCTATCATTTGCCATATTATTACCATCTTCCCATCATTCGCATTACGAAGAAGATTAAGATGAGATGTAGACGCATCGACGTTGCGATGATATGTCGGTCAACAATTCCAAAAATATCAAACGCCACACATTTTCTCCGAGTAAGCTGTCATTGTTACCTTGGAGTTGGGTAAAACCATATGTCGTTCTTCCCAGTCAAGAAAGTCTCAGACGCAAACTCGAAGCAATCGATACTTGGAAAGACATAATTAGTAACATAGAAAATAGTATTCTTTTAAATACTATCTATCGTATAGCAAATAGACAAATCTTTTTTCACATTAATTCCATCATCAATAGCTTGTTTTTTATTCGACCTATTGTTTTTGAAAAGGGTACTTAAATTACTGTCATGCAAGTATACAAGATAAAATGTATTATATCGACAAACTTTCCGAGCATGTTGTTCTTTTATGCATTTAATTTAAAAACGTTTCAGTACTCGATTAATATTAAAGATAATCTTCAAACTAGGATACCCTCCAAGAAAGATTTTAAGATATAAAATCTCGTTAGTTTGTCATTGAGTACTCGCAGTACTCGGATTTTAATGGAACCGTCATATATTTTTCAAAGTAGTGCTTGACACAATGTGTCTATGTCCTGTGTGTATATATGTATATAGGCGTATGTATCCTCTTTCTATTCAATGTATATTTGACCAAGTGATTTTTGCCAAATTATACAAAATAAAGCAACAATTAAGTAAGTACGTAAGTACTTACATATACATATAACAAATTAAATGATTTTATTTGTATTTCAATTTTGAGCATATTTTGATTTGATTTCATTTAATTTTATACACATTTTTTAAATTATAATGACAAATATTGAAAGGTAAATATTGAAAATGTTTGAATAATATTAATGAAATAATTCATTTTTATCTTTTTTTAATATTTAAATGAAATAATTATTATTTGAACATTAAAATCAAATTTTAATTGAATCGTTAAAATTTGAAGAATGCATACATTAAATTCATCATAAGTTGATATCATTTTCGTCTACTCTTTCATTGCTTTGTGTCGGAGTATCCTCCCGGCATTCCTACCATTTTTCCTGAGTCTTCGCGTCGACATACCGTTTATTGCAACCTAAGACATTCCTAAGTGCGATCCGGATGGGATCCATTAGAAGTGAAAGTGTAACTCACACATACATTCAGACAAAATCGATTCTCTCGTTTCTAATTGCAAGTAAAGAAACTCGAACGTCGGGAAATCCTATTTTTATTTGTTATTCCGTCTCTTTTTTTACCAAAGGATTGTTTTCCTTTTTCTTTTTTTACGAAAGGGTTGCTTTCCTTTTTTTTTTTTTAAGAAAGGATTACTTTCTACGTAATTTGTTCTTTTAGTTATCCAATAGTATAATGGATTCCGAATGTTGTTGATAATTATCCTTTTTAATTGTCCAAATATTTGATTTCACAAAATAGGACGTAAATTTAATTGATTAATTTGTTACTACAAACAATTATTTTTCAAATAATTTACTTTTCCAATAATACAATAATGCAATTGATTTTCACTTATGTCAATAGTTGATCTATTTTGTTATCAAACTTATTAATTCCACTACACAATAGTAAACTTAATTATATAATAAATGTTGTTACATATTCTTTTTTTAAGTTACTTATTATTTTAATATATTCGAAAATATATTATAAAATATATACAGAAGCTTTCTTTTTAAAATCAAAATATAATCTACAAAAATGTTATAATTTAATGGTATTAAACTTAATAATCAAGAAACTTCATTTTTAATATAGAAAGTTTAAAACTTTCACAATCAAATATATATAATCAATATAATAGCTATAATCAAAATTAGAAAATATTCGAAAAATTGAATAAATCGTTTTGCCTAAGTAAATGGTTCATAAAAAAAAAAATAGCAAAATCAAGGAAGTTTTTGTATCGTAATAATTTAAACATTTTTATTGTACGTCAAATCATTCTCACGACGGTAAAAGTTCAGAGAAAATTGTCATCGTGATTAGTGTCATCGGGCGAAATGCCAAGCGTACTTTTTTCTAAATCGCACGCACATTTCCAAGATAGTAGCAGCTGTCGTTTTATCCTCAAAACTTTTTCCAAACAACGGCCAATGAGACCACCACTTATCGAAACACAATATCTGACGCTTTCAAAATTTCAAAATAAAGAATATTACTGAAACAAGTTAGATGTATTGCGTTAGATAATCCTAAATGTAAACACGAATTTAGTTTTATTAATTAGCTTGTAAAAATGGCAACTGGTAGAAATTCGTATCCGCAAGCTTTAGTTTTCAGTTCCTTTCAACAGTATTTTAAATTTAGCACGACCGGTGGATCTCTTAATTTTCTTCACGCATTTCGCTGGTAACGCTCGTTTCTGCATTCAATTCGGTTCGGTAAATCAAACATTTAATCATTTGTTCTCTTTACTACCTACCGAGTTGTTCGACAAATTTACCCAATAGAAATTCCATTAAGAGATCACACATTACTTTTATGAAACTAATAAAAACAATTTGTGATCTTTTGATTTACCGATATTTTTTGTCTTCTTTATTTATATAATATTTATTTCTTACATTTGTCATCCGTGTACTGCAACGAGATAACAAAATACGTAGAGTATGTTTCTTCTTTATTTGAAATTTTCATTTCATTATTTTATTCGGTTTCTTTTGATCTTACTACGCACCGGAAGGATGTGCATGCAATATTTGTTTAACTGAAACATACTGATCATTAATAGCGAACGAAAGATATACGTATTTTCACTACATTGCGAAAATTCAAATATAAATCAATAAACACTTCAAACTTTTGACCTATTCGTTCACTTACCATTTCTTTTTATAGATAAGCCAAATGCACAAGATCCCGATTCGATCGTACAGTTTGCTTAGACAGTGGCGTTAAAACCAGCCACGAATTTTCTTGCTCTTTTTCAAGCAACTGATGTGTGAATTCGTTCCGTAACGACGCCAGAAATATAAAAGATTCTGCATGTTTCAACGATTATCCTCTTATAGTTATTCATCGTATTGTAGACAAAATACGATCTGTTTAAACATTTTTTTCGAGAATACTAAATATCTTGTTTCTTTCTCTTTAAAAGAAAACACAACAAAATGTTTTGATCTTTCTTATTAGATCTTTTCTTATTTTCTTTCTTTTCTGTAACTTTCTACTTACAAACTAAGATTACATGATTACTAAATTGTTTACTTCATCTGTTAATTTTCAATGTTTTTCAAAATGTATAACATATTTTTATTTATTATTCTCTTTTATGGAATAAAAATATATTATCTTTAAACTAATTGTTTAAGAATTGCTTTCGAAAATACGAATATGCAATATCTATTTTCTTTTTCTTAAAAAAAAGAAAATATCTAATTTAATTTACAACAATAAAAATTGGTAATTACAAATGAATAATTGTTAAGATAGAAAAAAATGTACTAGTAAAAATTCCAATAAGTAAATAAATAAGAATTCTAAAGCGCCCCTATACGAGTATACACGTGTAACGATTTGAATGATTTAAGATGCAACGCGTTTGTAAAGTAACCCAAATAGATAATGAGAAAGCAAAACGGGTTCTATCGTTGTTGGTGCTTACTTATTATAAATGCAATCTTGTCTTTGTTGATAACGAGCTGAATGTAATGAATACAACGCAAAACAGGAAAAAAAATAATACTAATACGTTCATTAAATTGTCCATTTAAGACAATTAAGGATTGTTAATAAATTTCAATTGAATATTCAATAATTTATTAATTGTAAATACGATACGTGTTCAAGTGTATCTATCATTAAAAACAACCATAAATTTTATCAAAAGAAAGATCACGTAATTCTTGTAATATTAATCGTGTTCTACGATGACATTCAATATTACGATAATTTCTACGAGTCTTGACGTTAATTCAATTTCCTCCTTTCGTATGACCAATCTTTTCCCTAATAAAAAAGCCATTAAACGTAATAACTATCATAAACGCTTTCATTAACGGCGCCATTTTTTTAAATGAAAAGTCAAGTATTATTATACCTGTATAATTAAAATAAAAGTAATCTAAAAAATGGTCCGTTCAACAACAGGCTGACATGTACTGTAGATGTCAGTAAAATTATAAGTCGATCGATTAAATAGTTTCTGAGAAAAATACACGCCATATTTGAAATTTTAGGAAAAAGTACTTAGGAGTTTTAGGAAAAACGCGTATAAAGTTTTTTATGCAACCGTAATTTCTATGGGATCGTATCCGCTAAACCTTCATATCTCAGTTATTTTAATGAATTTCACTTTGCAATTTTTAAGACCCATTTTCAAGACCCCATATTATAAAAATGTGTTTGACCCCATATTAAAAAATGAATTTTTTTTCTATCAGAATAACCCCCTTCCTTAAAAAATCTAAGTTATATACAGAGGCTACTTACATTTGTTGGCTTATACGTGTTGCACTATGCAACCCGCCTCCGTGGCGCAATCGGCTAGCGCGTTCGGCTGTTAACCGAAAGGTTGGTGGTTCGAGCCCAC